TATATATACATACTTTAATGAAATTTATATTCATAAAGTATTGTCTTACTTATAAAATAATCAAATTAAACGTGTTTGATTGCGAGTTGATTTAATTGATGCAAAGGAATGTATTGATAACGTAATACACTTCGAATAAATATATTTATGTGTATATTTTATAATCATTAAATATTACATGCAAAATTATTTGAATTCATTCTTAACCAAATTAATTGTTATTTATTTTTAAATGAATAAACTTTTTTCAAATAAGGATTATTCCAATAAGTCAAAAATTAATTACATAAATTACTTGAGCTCCTTTTTGTTACATTAGCTATTCTTCATATCTTTAATGGCAAAAGGATCTCGCGCGCGAAAACATGCCTCAACAACATGCTTCGCTATGTGATTTCGCGCGCGACTTTATTCTCAAGTGCAAGTGTGCATTACACATACGCGTATAATGCGTAAGATTACGATGTTCCTTGCCACCATCGTCGGCGGCAGCTTCACTTACGGGATCGCGAAGTGAATCCTGAGGCGCGTGACGAATCGCTCGACACCGTGTCATCGCGACATATCACCGGCAGACAGTACGCATTCTTTCTTACACCGTGATATTTATTGTCGCAAACGGAAATAAAAATAATGCGAGTGTATATACGGCATCGGCCGCCTGTGACATCAGCCCCTCAATCAATCCGTTTTGCATGATGATGCATGAAGCGCATTCGGCCAACATCGGCAAGAGGACACTTATCTGGGTGTGGACGCGACGAACGTTGCCCATATAAATCCTTTCGCCAGTACTATAGAATCTCGATTATCTGAGCGATACATTCGATCCTTCGCATTATGCTCATTTAAATATTTAATTCTGACCGTATATAGAGAAAAGTTACACATTATAAAAGATGATTATCTATTTTTTGTTCATGATTTTTTTTCTTTTATTGATATATAATGATATATAAGATGATCCCAAAATTAGTAAATCGAAATATCATATTGCACAAAAAATTCTCTTCGAAAAAAATAACTTAAAAAAAGTATTTGTCATATTTTTGTTTCGAATATACTAATTTTGGGATATAACTGTAAAACTGATTACAGATTACGGTTAAACGGTTGTCGACTTGGATCGTTCAACCATAATTATAATTGGTTTTGAACTTTTAGATTTTTAACAAATTTTTTGTGACAAAAAATGGTAAATAATTTTTTAACTTTTATTTTGAGAACTTTCTTCCTGTGGTATTTTGATCTGCAAATTTTTGCAAATAATTATTTGCGTTAAAATGATTTGAAAAAAGTTGATCATTTAAACATTATCATTGTTCGCCGTTAATTCGTTTAAAGTAAAAATATTTCAATTAAAGTAAAAATATAACGTAAATCTTGTGATAGTTGTTCTTGCATGTTTCTTCTTCCTAGAACTCGTATTAATGAAATGAATGCGCATCTTTCAAATGACTAGACCGCAATTGATTTCTAACAAGGCTATCGTATAATTCTATGTAAATATTGCAATACGAAGGTCATATTTTATTTTCTTTCTTGCAACTAGTTTCAATTCGCAATTAAATGATGTATGTTTGTGAATTTGAAAGTCAATTAAATTAATCGTAATTAACTGAAATGACGTCATTAACGAGGTAATCTAGAATTAAGTTCAGTTTATAAATGATGATTAAAAAATTTGTTATGTTACAATATGTTCATCGGCTGACGTCAATGTATATATTATACATATATTATATTATATATTAATATTTATGTGTTTACAGATTGATTAATACATTCATGTTGCTTAATCTGCACTATCAAAATATATTTTAATCAAAATATAAATATATTTTAACAATTTATATTTTTAAAAAATTGTATTATTGTCAACTTTGACATTTTAAAAAAGGAAGAGTTACATACTAAATTAAACAATGACCATCAACAATAATAAATTTAATTTCGTTGATTATAACAAACGATTATGATTAATTTTAGAAAATTAAAAATATGTTTGTTCCAATTTATATATTAGGTGTAGTAAAAAGAAATCCATTATTTTTGCATGAAATTGAATGGAAAAATAATGGATTTCTTTTTACTACTAATAATTATCTTTATTAATTCTTACAACATAATTTCTTTTCTGCAGATTGATCGAATTTAAGCGGTAAACCTTACTATACAATTCCGCTATTTAAACCGCGACCGGTAAATTTTCTTGCGGGCAAACCACTTTAGTACATTACTGTAATCGAGTATGAGTCGAGACAATAAATTCGCATAAACATAAATGATGATTATGGGTCTACCTACGATATTGTGCGTCGCTTAGATCCGCGTACATCATACTAAGTATATCAAAGAAAATTGCATGTTTTCTTTCGATTATATATTGTCACGAATTGAAACAAATTTATGTCAATCTCGGAGTATTGCAATTTATACTTTTTTATTAGATAAGAATATTATATAATTATATAATATTAATGCACTCAGTAAAGAAATTATCTGTTATTACAGTTATTTCTAATAATCCCGCCACTTTTACAAAATGAATCTATGAAGACGCTGAAAGATTCTCAACGATGATATATGGTTGCGAATATCCTGGTATATCCCTACATGAATTTACCACAGCAATAACTGCACCCTTGTCTTTTTACGATATATCGCGGTAGATCTCGCAGAGATTTGCTGAGAGAAAGACGAGTAGGCACAAAGGTTCCATGCAAATTGTCGGTGTGAAAAACTTGAAACACCATGAACGTAATTTGCAGAGCTCGAAATATAACGCTTCTGCGATAAAATAGTATCCGACTGATCCGTGCGTTCAATGCTTTTAATAAATTCGTATCAAGAATACGATTCCATTTGTCGAATGTATACGATCGCTAGTCCGTATCTCGCACATTTTAATGTATTTATGAACTTGTGTATTAAATTAATGAATATTTCCATTATTGTAATGATCCTATCAGAAATTTTTTTTTTTTTTTTTTAGTTTTTTTTTAGTTTTTCTCGTAATAGAAGAATAAAAAACAAGAAGACATTTTTCTTTGAATTTTACTACAATTTTTATATTGTATTGAAATTTTTGTCTCAACAATTTATTTCAACAAGTATAACTGTTTTTAATTAATATTTTATTAATTTAAGAAATTCAATAAACATAATAAACACAACACAGATATCAAACATTTATACTATAATTCATAGTTAGTGTGCTATTTTTTATTTAGATTATAAATATTTATTTTCATTAAAATGATAGATAGCGCATCTCAATGAGACATTTTCGGCCGCGCAAAGTGTTTCTAGATCACGTTCGACTTTGGTTACCGTTTTGCAGCTATGTTTAGATCACGTTCAGCTGGCGACGATAAACTAGGTCGGATTAGCGCATTTCCTTGTGCGAGTTCTTTAGTTTATCAAAAAAGACTGTTGTCTTATCTTTTCTCATACATTTCATAATTTCCGAGAATTTATTGCCTTTTGCCATGCATCAAACATGAAAATATTATAATTATGAATGTTTTTTAAAATTTTCATGTAATAATATCATGCCTATTTGATATTTGTTGCGTATTATATTGCAAGAGGCAATGCGTATTTATTATTTATATTAAACTGAGAAATCTGCAATTTAATTATAATATATTGTAATCTTTTATTACATACATCTTGAATATAAATAAATATCATATCCAATTAATTAAAATCCGTTATTTACTGATAATATTTAGATCAAGTATTGAAAATTATATGTTTGTATAGTAATCTGAATATCAAAGCTATAAAATTTACATGACATTATACTATAGCGTAATTATCCAAATTGGTTGCTAAATTCATCACGATTAGCATGGCATCAATGACAACTATGATAATAATAATAATAATTAATGCTATTTCTATGATAAAGGCAACTTGAAAATATTTTATTCTACCTTCATGTTTTTATAAATTATCTCGGCAAAGTAAATTTCACTGTCTAGTTATTCAAAGAGTCGAGTATCTTTCACACACAAGTAATGTGTTGCCCGAATAACTTGAACACTTGTAACCGGATTTCGCAGATAAACGGATTTTCCGCATACATAGCAATTCATTGTGTCGCATTACGCACGTTTCATCTCACGGTGATTAAATTACATTTGCATTACCTGACATCAACTGTTACATGCTGGCTCTTCAAAATTGTACACAAAATTGAAGTTGAGTTAAGCGATCAAAGCGATCATTCCAATAAATTATCAATGGGATTATTTTGTTGTATAAATAATGCATCTCTTAATTTTCTTCAGATGGGGCGATTACTCATATGGATGCACTTCTCACTGTTAATCGTGCTATTAGCATCGGTGCAGAAAACTACAGCATGCAGCTGTGCGCAGGCCCATCCTCAAACCAAGTTTTGTGAATCAGATTTTGGTAATTTCACGGTCAATAATATGTTTCAGTTTTTGATATCATATATATAACGCAAAAAATATAAATTGAAATTTTAATAAATATTTCAATTCTAATTTTATTCAAATATTACATTATTTTTTAACGAATTGTATTAATATCTTATTTTTATTTATATATAATAATTTTAATGAATATTATATTAATATTTAACTTTGTGTAATATTTTATAATGTATTTTATAATCTTTTTAACTTAAGTTTATAATATGTTTTATAATTTCTTCTATAATAATTATATAAGTTTTATCTTAAATATATTGATATATAGCTAATGTATAACAATTTTCTATAAAATCATGCGACTATTATGCGCTAAATAACAGTGAGAATCACTTTTCGATCTTTGTAAAAGTTTGGCCACAGTTAATGACGTTCTTCTGTCACAGTCGTCGTAGTGAGGGTGAAAAAGATTCTCCCCATCAACGACTATGAGATCGCTTACAAGGTCAAGATAAACAGGGTGTTCAAGGTGCGTATTATTATTATGCCGGCGAAACCTTACCGCGCGTAGACAGACGTTCGTCGTGTTCGCGAAATGCAATCTATGCTTAACCTTACGCCTCTGCTTCTTCCTCCCGCAGTCAAACCCAAAGGCCGACATGGCACTGATACAGAACCTTTTACGGACACCATCCACGGACTCGATGTGCGGAGTGACACTGACCGTCGGCGACACGTACGTTCTAAACGGGAGAATCGTCTCGGGAAAAGCACTCATATCGAACTGCGGGCTCTCGATAAGATGGGCCGACACGACTACTAGACAACGCAAGGGATTGAGACAGCTCTATCAACAGGGTTGCGTGTGTGATGTAAGTGGATTATATCTTATCTGTCGTCACTTCAAATGTATTCCTTCGATTATTAATTCGATTAATTTCTTAATATTTTGAAGAATATATTAATATAAAAATTTTAACTAGAGAGTACCACAAGATATTCTGTCTAACATTTGTTAGATATTGAAGGAACAATAATCCAATCTTTTGAGTTAAATAATATTTTATTTTGTTTTAACTTTTGTATATGTCAAAATCAATCTATTTCTGTGGTTAAATTGCTTAGCTTGTTTTAAAGCAAACAACGTCCATGAACAAAAGCATATTAACATATGCTCTAATAATTAATTAATTAAATTTGAGTGTTTAGTACATTTAATGTTTAACTTCATTGTTTTAATTAATGCGTATGGTATATTGAATAGGAACTTACAGAATCTATTAAATAGGAACCTATAAAAATCGTAGTAGCAACCTCGGGAAATATATACATATTGAGTAGGAGTAGAAATTGCAGTGGCAACCTAAATGGAAATGATTAAAAATAATTTAAATGGATATAATTTGAAATTATGAATTTAACAGTTTAAACAGCAACGCTTTAGAATTTTATTACTGGTGAGGATTATCGATAATAATTAATAATATTGTTTTTCTCATGATATATTACGTTATTTGATTGTAGCCATAACTAGAATCAAATTTATCGTACATTTGGAAATTAGAGAGAATAGAATTTCTAATAAATACATCGAAATATCGAATTCAGTGAGTACATTGAACAGGAACTTATAAATCATATGCAAAATCAAATATTTTTTCAACTGATTCCGCGAAACCAACGCAACTCGCTGCGTGAAAGATTAAGGCAATGAATAACATACGCTGTAAATCTCGGTCGATTTTATACAGTCGAGAATGCTTCTCAAAAATGGAGTGTCCTAAAAATACGCGACCAAAGAACTGCGCAGATATATCTGCGCATTTGTTCAATCACTGCTGATTTATGCGTGACGCGAGTTTACGCGACTAAGAATACGAGATTATAAGGAAGAGCGCGGAAAAAAATGGCCTGGTTTTTGTATCGCAGATTCTGTACACACATTGGAGGCGCAAGGGTGCTGTGCTAGAGTCCAGCGGCGGAAAGAATTGTCTGTGGGAAAGTACGCCAGGCCCCCAGGATTGCCAAGAAAAATACGGCGTGTGCATGGCGTCATTCAGCGGCTGCTCCTGGATTCCCTCAGTCCCGTACAAAAATTGTATTAAGGAGTATCAGCGTAAACGCGAGCAGCAAAGGTCGCGAGAACCTTAATCGTATCGTGTTCTGTTCGTGTCTTTGGGCGATGGGAAGCGACAGAATTTATCGTTCATAAAATGATGCGACATGTCTGTCAGACAATTTGATGACGGACGCGCCGCGTAATCAAATGAGAAACGATGAAATATAGCGATGTGGTATGGCGGTAGTTTAATGGAAAGCTGCAAGTTCGTAGCGCGTATAAATGCAAGAGACCTGAACTTCTGCTATGTATTACATGGAATAAGTAACATGATAGTTTATTAATGAGTTACCGCATACGTAGATGCGTGAGGCAAAAGAGAATCCCCGTACTTTAATAATAAATAGTTTCATTAATCGTTAAAAGCAATAACATTCTGCTTTGTAAATTGCCTTTATATTTTTAGTAGTGTTTTCGAATAAAATCGGATTTATCTAAAAATGGCAATACGTTAGATCTTTGAAACTGAAAAGTAGACAGGTGAGCTTTACTTGTGAGAGGTACAACTGTATGTTCGTTAACGATTATTACTTTTCGAGCTAATTTTTATACAGATTTCGATGAACAGAAATAATTGTATGTTGAGGAAATTGTATTAAGAAACCGATACTATGCAATTTTAAGAATCACTATCGTCTGTTAAATTATTCGTGACTTAGATTCGATAGTAACAGTATTGGCTAATTTTATCCTATAAGTTTACAATGGCAGTTTAACTCGTTTAACACATTGTGGCTATATTACAAATAGAAGAAGTATTAGTTAATTATTGATAGATCTAACCGACGTGTGGTGCAATCGACCCTTAATTATTCGATTATTATTAACGAGGGGTAAGTTTGCATCGCTTAGATATTTTGAACGCGTGGATATATTATATGGATTTCATCGCTGAAATATATATGAGCGATTACTTTCACGATATTATTCTTTCGCTCTTAACGAGTTGTATATATATTATGTATTGTTTATGTATATTATGTATCATTAAATTATTCCAATTATCGTTGTATGTAGTCTTAGACGTCGTTAAAAATTCACTCGTACTTTATTACACTTCGTAATATATTATGCGTATTTTAGATTTAAATTAAATCATAGTCTATGTATACATTTGTCATTATTATTCATAATTCAGAAATTATTTAATCTGATGAAAATATTGAATATGTGAATCTATAATCTTATAAATATATATAGCAGGTTTTGATGTTGCGTTGAAAAAATACATTTATTGTTTTTACTCTACTAATAATATATTGTTCTATATATCTATAGATATATAGTTCCATTAACGTTAAGTGAAAGCAATTTATGTAGATCGAAATTCAAAACATAAAATAGAATGCTAAAAATTTATATGTATGTGCACTTTCGAATGAAAAAATATCTATTTTTTACGTATAAACATTTTATTTAGCTCTTAATTGTGGTACTTTTGTAAGTGTTATGTGACATGTAGAATAAAAATAAATGAAAACAGTTGTTCTTATAAGCATGTCCTCATTATAATACCATATATTAGTCTAATAATGATTTAAAAATATCTTGTTTTTTTAAACATGATGAAAAAATGAAAATTTTAAATATATTAATTGATTTACTTACCATTTCGCGATGATTGGGATAATAACTCTGTTCAATCAAAGGGAAGTTGTCTTTACCTAAACGGCGCTGTAATCCCAGCAGGTGAGCAAATACCCAAGGTTTGTCCTATTTCATAGAATACGATAGCAATTACTGAAAGGTTCTTATAATGTGCATGTAAAAAAGATATATATAACACAAAATCGATACAGGACATCATATATGAAGAGCCTCAATATATATATATATATTTACGCATACAACATATACATTAAAATTTTTATCATCATCCTATTTAATTTCTGTATTTTTAATACAGGTAAAATTTAAAAAATTTTTAATATTAATAAAAATAAAACATGTTTTGATATATTAATTAATTTTGTGTGTGTGTGTGTGTGTGTGTGTGTGTGTGTGTGTGTGTAAATATATTAACATATATTTGTTAAAGATTTTTATTTATTTGTAGATGACTGAAACTATAATATTCTTAATAAGCTTTATTTTTTTTATTATGTTTTATAAATAATAATTAGGGAATTTATAAAAACGATAATTTTACCATAATAATACATTACCTGAAAGTTGTAAATTGCTGTGAGATTATTAACGCTAGGTACACCGCCATACATCAGACCAAGAAGAAGATTCTTGTAATCTTCTCCAGCATCTCGTAGATTTTGACGTATCAATACGAAATCAGGTTTGAACGATCTGATAACAAATAATGATAGATACTACATATCCGTTGCTTGATATTGATTTAATATTTTAAATAATAAATTTATTTCTATCTCATTATGTCATTATAACGTTCTATTTAAAAGTTTTTTTATACATTATGTATTACAATATTAACTTTTTAAATTTTTTAAATTATTATTTTAATTTATTTCTGGATAATTTAATTTTGTATTGTCTAGGAGAAACGCAGAGTAATATTAAACTGTTAGAGTAATATTAAATTATAAAAGTTATGTTAAACTATTTAAATCATGCAGTTTAGTTTAAGGATCAATAAAAGGATTGGGATGCAGAAACTATTCTCAAAAAATATTCCAATTTCATCTTACCGAATAACTTTGGTCCCGTTACGATAGACAGCCATGGACACTATGGTGCCCGCCTCGCTTGCCGTCAGGGACAGTTCTCGAAATTCCGCCTGCTCCACGCGAATTTCATAATCGCCATGCAATCTGCGTCCCCGGAAGTATTTGCTCCAATCAGTATTCTGATCATCGATCACCAACAAAGTAAAGCATCGATCCTTGCTGTATGACGAGCCTCTGGTTGCGCCAGATACCGCCGCTCCCAAAATAGAAGCACCCTACGCATCATTTTAACTGTCACATACTGTGACATTCTCGGCTTGCAACATTCCGACCAAACGGAAGATTGATTATAATTAACTTCTCTATGAATGACAGGAAAATGCTTTTGAGAAAGCCAAATTTAAAGGTTTCGAAAACACAGAATAGAAATATAATAGAAAGATATTGAAAGAGATATTTTGAGAAAGATTTTGAAATATTACTTATTTAATCAGGATTATTCATAACTAAATTAATTATTAAATAATTATAAATGAAAATTAGATCGATAAGAATAAATCAAATAGAGAGGATCCCGTTTTTAATACAATATTAATATTCATATTTGCTTTGACTGAAAATAGGATTTTTCCTATTATTTAATTAATTATTAATAATTCTGTCTCTTGTTCATTTTAATAATGGTTAAGCGACGAAATTACTTTTCATTGAATTAATCTGAGTCTGTTAGATCAAAATTGTCGGATAAATTTAAATAAGGAAAATGAAAATGAAATTGACTTGCCTGGTCGCGGGCGGCACCGGTTAAGCTCTGTACCCGTTGGAGCAAACTCTCCCGTGTCTTCGCTGGCGAGGATGGTGCGCTAGTGGTCCGCGAGCCAGGTCTCAAGTTGAGACTGAGATCGCCGCCGATGGGCTGCGGCGGTCCCTGAGGTGGAACACCCGGGATCGGCGGCTGAGTTGGCAGCGATATCGGACCCGGTTGGGATTGTAAGGGTCGATCTGGCACTGCTTGATACGGCTGAGACGAGTCCTGCCGGCCCACGGTGGCCATCCCAGGATCCGCGTTGGGCTCATCATCGAGCTCCGAGCTTAGGTCCCCTGACGAGAACCTGGAAGACAAGCTATGGTGGTCGTCGTGACAGTGACAATCGGTCGGCAGGCCGCGCACTGACACTCATATCTGATTGCGTTAAATGCACATCGATCAGAGCCATTCGGTGCTGATGGGATGACGAACATGGAGATGACGTCGGCAATGAGACGGTCGCTAATCGGCCGCTGCATGCGTGCTGCGGATCTTACGTCTATTTCGATTGCAAAATAGATGGTCACGGCGTATTCAGTTCAAAGTAGCATATTTGTTTCTTTTTTCTTCATCCATTAGATGGTAATCTCTTTTTTGCTCAAATGATTTATTGAGCAACCTAAATGCGAACAATGCCTATAGGATATCCGCACGAAACCACGTTATTGCGCGTTTACATCATCGATTTATATTACGTGTAAATATGATTACTCATAAGTAACAGTGAGATTTACGTCATAAATATAAAGCAAGAGATGAAAAACGCGATATCGCTGATGAAGGAGGAAAGGTAGTGTTATGCTAACGTTGCCGTGGGTAAAGCAACGTTAGTACGATGGCTTGATATCATGACGTGCGTCCAGGCTGCTGCATTTGGGGCAATGCTGGAAGCGGTATTTTTAACGAGCCACATGCACATATCCATATTTGTCGAACACGAAGGACTTGAAATTTTTAATAAGAACATTAAGGTACTGTGTGTTTAAATTCTCCTCTGTATCAATAACGTACGCGGAGGTTCCCAAACATCTCGATATGATCTCTTTTGATATTTAAAACTCTCTCTTTGCAATCGATTAACAGTATTTTAAGAATTAATTTTATTGGATTTTATAGGATTAATTTTATAGAATTTTTATTTTAAGAATTAATTTTATAGGATTTTATAGAATCAATTTTATAAGATTTTTAAGAATTAATTTTATAGGAACGAAGTTTCGATATCGTAAATATAAAAAAAGTAAAGAAAAATCTTTTTTAAGTTTCCTATTATATCAACATTACTTTATATACTTGTAGATAAAAGAATATAAAGAGAATATTTTTTATTAAAAGTATATTTTCATGTTTATGCAAATGTATAGGTTTAACAGAAATCCTCGCGTAAATAATTTCGCAAATTAGTGTGGGAATCTTTGCGTCGAGTTCAGCAATTCTACTTTTCAACACTGAAAGTTTGACATGTTGTTGTTTGCTTAATGGCCAACTCAGGTAAGCATTCGTGTCCGGCTAATTAGACAGAGGAATCTATTTTCTCTTCACTATGGGAGCCGCCGAGAGCGTGCAGAATATTGAGGTATCGCGCACATTGTTTTAAAGGCCGATCATTATCATGCACACGCCAGTGTGCGTAAATTGACTCCACATAAGAGACTCCACTCATAAAAACAGGATTTAGCTCGGCAATATGATACATAAGTTTTCATCAAGTATATACCTTTCAACAACGTATTCAGCAGCAGATAGAACGACGTTTCGGTCAAAATATTTCCATTTGCCGGATTTTAATTATAGGAATCTCGTTCGATAACAGACCGGTAATTACATTAAAAGTACATTAAAGCGCGCAATATAATGAGAGTATAGAGCGCTATTCGCAATTATAAGTTATTGCTACATTTATACGCAGTAACGAAACAAAGAAATAAGATTAAGTCACGTAAATTGCTTATTTTCATCCATAAAAATGTTTTCTGATGAGTATTGAGAGATGTGTATCGTCTCAACTTCATTACCGATCCCATGCGTTCTAGAAATATTCCATAAAATCAGTCCGAGATTGGCGAAGATTGGCGAACGCAATACAATATAAAATACAAAAAATGCATTTTGTTTCATGCAGATTCAAGATTCGGACTGACATTTTTCAATATGCTTGCATCAATAAAATTACGAAAAATATATAGAAGATGACTTTAATCCTTTGGGCATATATAAACATGCACAGCACCGTAGAATAAATCTACAAAATTAATAAGCGCAAAATGAAATGTCAGTCCTACAGATCTGATGTACCAACGACTCACCTCCGTTTCAGGTAGTTGACATTAGAGGTGAAGGACTGACGAAAACTTGAGAATGAAATGTTGCCGGGTGATGGAGCTGTACCACAGTACTTGGCGCAACCGCCGCGGCCGGTAATCTTGATGGTTACACCGAGCTCGTTGCTGCGACGAAACGGCTCCCGGTTTCGTTGCTCGGACCGTTAGCGATGTAGAAGATAACCCGTTTCAGTTCTTTGTCGTGGCGATGATCCTTGCACTGCTGATGATGCGACGTCGTCGCGACGCACGAAATAGGTCGTTCGTTGTGGATCGATGGATCGTATCGCTAGATCCCAGATCGATGGGACGGGTTTTCTTTGCTTGATGCGTCGCGGGATAAATTTCAACGTAAGGTAATCCGAAAGGAAAGGATGAAATAAGAGGAGGTGAGGAAGGAGAAAATAAACAATCCAAGTTGAAATCTGCAAATAAAAGAGAGAAAAGGATTTAAATGCCGAGTAATTGAATCAATTATACTCGTAATTATTATAGACGCTGCATTTATCTTACCGAGGCATTATCGTGTCTCCTGATTTTTATTTACGTAAATAAGACTATAATTGTATAAATAGTTGTATAAGCAGGTAGTTGTATTATTTGGATCTATGGATAAATTAGAATGCGGTATTTTTTATTTTAAGTAACGATATTATTTATACAATAATTATTATTAATTTTTTATACTTTTTATATTGTTTTTTCTATATTTGAAAAAATAAACATATGTAGAATTTTTATTTATCAAAATATATACATTTTATAATTTAACAACAATCCAAATTCATAAAATTTTATTTCTATTCTATAATATTTTCGGATTATTCAAAGCAAATTAATTATTTTTTAAATATGAAGGTTCAGGTTCTTTAATATAACTCAATTTTCTACAAGGTAATATTATACCTGAGTGCTGATATATATAATACCTGGATTCTTTATAACGTTGAGAAATTTCTTTTTGATTCGAGTGGCTTAAACGAAATGACCTATTTCTGCTATAAACGATACATTTTTATTGTACAAGACATCTTTTCATAATTGGGTTCTCTCGTGTATCGGAAATAATAAGCTAGGATTATAAAACCCATTCGTGATTTTGTTATTTTCTTTATGTTATGCTTTGCGAATGTTTGTGCACATTATAATATTAACAGCTTATGATATCAAAAATATGATGAGATTTATTTTTCTATGAATGCTTAAGCTTAGAGAGAGAGACATTCGCGGAAATATGAAAGAAATCCAGTAAAATTTCACGTAAAATTTATAGGGTAGATAAAAAACATATTTTAAATAGTTTAAAACATTATTAATTGATATTTTTAATATGTTTTAAATATGTATTTTATACACTGTTTAACGTATATATTTGAAGCATTAAAAACATATTTAAGAAGAAACATAATGATTTATTCTTAAAAAAAAAAAAACATTAGTCTTTGCCAAAAACTCTTAAAAACTCTTTCAATAGAATAGATACAACTTTTCCAATGGTATCTTACTTTAATTTTAAAAATTCTTTTTTAAATTTTCTAATAGTTTTACGATAAAAAATTGCTGCTGTTAAATCGAGGTATAAAGGGTACTTCGAAATCTCGTATTATGCATTAAAAGGGAAGAGTTACGGATGTAACCGGTGTGACCAATGACTCATAATATAAGGCTCATGAAAATCGATAGTCGAGGCGCGATTTTGCTTGGAATTTCAGAAATGCTTCATGGCATCGCGCGAGTACACCAGCATTTACGTATTCTTGGAACGCGCGGCACGGAAACGCTACTTCTATGACTTGCTTCGTTGATCGTATCAACGGATAGAGCGCACCTTTTCTTGAAGAGCTCTCGCGGGATAATTCTATGCTCATCGCGGGAAAAGAAGCGTCGAGGAGGCAATGATACATTCCGACTATTAATATTTGTTTCTTCCGTACTTCTCCGATAATAGGGAGAACGTGCACGATTCGCAGAACTGGTGAAGTTTGCGTGTATCTCCAACATTCAACTTTCTTGAAGTGTTACTCGAAAGGAGAAACCTCCCGATTCGATTTGATAATCAAACAAACAGCTTGCAGAATGTTCTCACTATTTTATTCTTAGTTTCATGTTTCACATCAAACTGAGAGTAAAATGATTGTTTTTTTGTACATCGAAACATTTTATAAAAGATTTTATTATATAACATTAAATTTTTTTTTAATTTATTAAAACACTATAATATATTTATTTAAACATAATTTATTTAAACACTATAATATAAGAGCATTTTTAGCATTTTAAAATTAAACTTGACTAAATTGAGATTTAAAGAAAGAAAGGGTTAAGAAATATTTAAGAGTATACGTTTGATGAGTGATGAGTTTGCATCAAGATCTTGCGAAGAGAAAATTCTAAATTTATCATAAAGCTTGCAGGTGAATGAATATCTGGGTCATAGGCATTCCATATTTCATTTCGAGGCCATTCTTTAAAGTCTTAATTCAAATCTTCGGATTTTATCATGCTATAGTGATTTTAAGCCGCTTCGCCTTCGCATTTGTTGCTTCAGGAAATTCAAATCGTGCGAGCGTATAATTTAAGTAAAATTATAGAGAGGCAAATCAAATGAATCAATGAGAAATAAGATTACTCCACTTGTACCAATTTCCATGTGATACATTTCGCAAGTTTTGCGGGTTGGTGTAAGACATCGCATAGAATTATCCTCGCGCCGCGAATAGCACCTACCTATTAGACCACAAAGTGGTAAACGAGTTATAGAGCCATTACGTGTTGATGAGTTACGCCTGTGGATACAGCTCATCGAGCATTTTACACGCACAATACCGCTGCATGCATCGAATTCCTATAATGACTATGTTACATACAATCAAGAAAGTCACAACAATAGCTTGATATGTATGTTAATAGATAATAAGTTACCAG